TTTTTTAGGCTGGATAAATCAGTCAGATACTGAAGCCAAGGGGCCCCAGCCTGTAGTCCACTGCCCTGCCTGTGATCAGCGATCACCACGGTCACCTCTCTACCCCTGGTGGCACCTGTTCTCCTCTCCTGCAAAATCCTTATGGAATGCTGTGCCATGGAATGGAAGGCTGTGGCCAGCAGGGTGACGACCACACCCCCAGGCTGGCTCTCAGGGCCATCCCAGTCCCGAACTTCCACAGCCTTGTATCTCTCCCTCCACCGACATGTCACAGCTCTCCCCTCTGCCCTCACTTTAGCCTTCTGCTCCTTCTGGAAGGTCCTCCCTGCTGTCCTCCATGGGCCACAAGCATGCTGAAGATTCAGCTCCAAGGTCACCTCTCCCCAGAGACCCTTTGTAGAGGCCACTTCTAGGTCACAGGCTTAAACAATGGAAACCTGAGTGGGATAAAAGGGCCCACAGTGACACCCCCCCCCCCAGCGGACTGCAAACAGGCTCATTAGGTGACCCACCTGGAAATAGCCAGAGGAGGGCACCTGGGTGGCTTAGTTGGTTAAGCGACTGCCTTCAGCTCAGGTTATGATCCTGGAGTCCCAGGATCGAGTCCCGCATCAGGCTCCCTGCTCAGCAGGGAGTCTGCCTCTCTCTCTGACCCTCCCCCCTCTCATGCTCTCTATCTCATTCTCTCTCTCAAATAAATAAATAAAATCTTAAAAAAAAAAAAAAGAAAGAAATAGCCAGAGGCCCTGGCTGACCCATGGGCTACTTAAAATCGGGCACAGGTACCATAAAGGGGAAAACTCCATACGTTCCCACACCTCCTCATTTGCCCCCTTAACTGCAGCTCCTCACCACTGCCTCCTAGCAGACAGTCTCTTCTCTACTGTCCCTCCTGCTTCTTCCTGGCAGTGTAGTCAATAAACTTCTACCTCCTTCGTTCTGCCTTGCTGAGTTCTTTTACCACCCATGCCTCTGGCCTCCACCAGATCGGGAAGCCCCATACCCTTTTCCCTCCATCCCACTTCTTACCCTACCCACCCCCAGGCCCTTAGGAGGGGCACATGGTAGAGCAGAAAACAGGTGCCCCCTTCAGAATCAGACACACCTGCCGGGGGTTGCCAAATACAGGCTCCACCGTCCTGTGACCTTGGGCCAGCTACTTAATTTTACAAGCCTGGGACTTGCGCCCTGTGAAATAGGGTGGGTGCCCAGTCCTTGCTGACTCCCGGCACCTGCCCACCGATGTCCCCACCACACCGTGCACACCCCTGCAGGGCTTCCAATGCTGGCCTGCCTCCCCGGGGAGGGTGCAAGCTCCTCCAAAGCAAGACCCCAGCCCTCCCTACCTTTGGGCCTCTGCACAGTTTTCACTCTCAACACTTCTGACACCAAACATGTGGGGTTTTTCCCCACCAGCAACCAATCCTCTCTCCAGTGTCCTGCAATTCGGTTCAATTCTGACACAACCACTGGGAGCTGGCATCAGTCCCATAAGACTGTCACCACCTCAGACACCAGTCGAACATGTGGGCTGCCCAGGGTATCCAGACTTCTGTCCGACTTGGCTACGAAGTCGGGGGTTCCTACAACACCCCACCTTCAGTTTCAATAGTTTGCTAGAAGGGCTTACAGAACTCAGAAAAACACTTAACTTACTATCCTCGGTTCATTATAAAGGATACAGATGAACAGGGTCCAAGGTCCCCAGCAAAGGAGCTTCTGTCCCCATGGAGTTGCCAAGCCCCACCCTCCCAACAAGTGGATGTGTTCCCCAACTCAGAAGCTCTCTGAACCCCATCATTTAGGGGTTTCTGTGGAGGCACATAGGCATGATTAATGAACTCCGTGGTCATTGTGATTAAATCAGTCTCCAGCTCCTCTTCTCCCCTGGGGTCGGGGGTGGTATGGTGCAGAAAATCCCAACCCCTAAATTTGTGGTTGCTTCCTCTGGCACAACCCTCCCCCATCCAGAAGCTATCTAGGGGCCCAGCAAGAGTCACCTGATTAGCATAAACCCTGGCGTGGTCAAAAGGGGCTTATTATAAACAAACAAAGAAAACTCTCCTAGTGATGAGGGAGCAGAAGGCTAGTTGAAGACAGAGCATAAGCGGACACCCTGCAACCTATGTGTGTGACATTCTTCCAGGGATCTCCCAACTATCTTAATGTTAATACCTTGCTAGAAGGGAAAACAACCTTAACTTGACCGTGGCCTGACCTCTGGTATCTTGTAGGTATCCTGTAGGTTGGTCCTCTTTAGCATATGAAAGTTCTTTTGAAATCTCCCTTTTCCTTATGTCCCCCAGCTCCGGAGTATATAATCAGCCACTCCTCAAGACCCAGGTGCAGCCCCTCTTTCTGCCCATGGGTCCTGTCCCTGTGCTTTAATAAACCACCACTTTGCACCAAAGATGTCTCAAGAATTCTTTCTTGGTCGTCGGCTCCAGACCTCACCCCACCGAACCTCACCTGAATTCCAAAACCACATCACTATCAACTCTATTACCCAGAAAATTCCAAGGGTTTCAGAAGCTCTCATGTCCAGAACTGGACATAGACCGATGTTAATAACAAAATCCAACCAAGTGAATTTGAGGATCTAATTGACTATTAAATGACTCATGGACCGGACGGCACCCCATCTAGCAAGCAGAGAGGCACTCGAGGCATTGTACAAAATGGGAGGTTTTTATAAAGGGAGGGTGGGAGCAAAAAAGTTTTTAGGAAAAAAAAAAAGATCTCTCCCGTGGAGGTTGTTTGCTAGGGGAAAAGCAAGATATCTTATCATGTGGATTGCCTTATCTTCTGTTGGGGGTGGGGTGGGATAGAGAGGACCCCAGGTGACAGATTCATTGGTGCTGCTGGAAAGAAATATTTCCTGACTGACCAGTTAAGGCCACATTTCTGGGGGAGGTTGAAACTGCATTTAGTTTGGGTATTAAGCCCCGGTTTGGGAACTCAGTCATTTGGGGCCTGCAGTTTTCTTTCTTTAACACCACATATATATGTGTGTATATATATATATATCTTTTAAATATTTTTATTTATTTTAGAGAGAGAGCGTGCGGGAAGCAGGGGAGGAGTAGAGGGAGAGGGAGGGGACAAGAATCTCAAGCAGACTTCCCGCCGTGTGCAGGGGCTGGGGCCTGGCTGGGCCCCAGGACCCTGAGATCACACCTGAGCTGAAACCAAGAGTCCCACGCTTAACCAACTGAGGCACCCGGGCGCCCCCCCAAATATATATATATATATATATATTTTTTTTTTAAAGATTTATTTATTATTTATTTGAGAGAGAGAGAATGAGAGAGAGAGCACATGAGAGGGGGGAGGGTCAGAGGGAGAAGCAGACTCCCTGCCGAGCAGGGAGCCCGATGCGGGACTCGATCCTGGGACTCCAGGATCATGACCTGAGCCGAAGGCAGTCGCTTAACCAACTGAGCCACCCAGGCGCCCCCAAATATATATTTATATCACGGTATCACAGGTCCTCATTGCAGTAGGTCTGTCGAATGAAGGCAACTGTCCTGAGCCTCACCTTGCCCCAAGAGCACCCAGCACTGGGCGCACCCTTGTGGCGGAGGCCATCACAGGCGGGCGGGGGTTTTAGAACCCCATCTCCATCTCGGCTTCCCGTAAGCCCAGCCTTCTCCTGTCGGTGAAAGGGGCATACTTGCACCCCTGGCCCTCAGGCTTGCGAGGGGTAAAGGGCATGGCAGAGAGAGGAAGAGGGGCGGGTAAAGGTGGCCCCCTTGGCCTGCCGTTGGGACACGAACACGAATGTGTGGGGGCTGGTGGGAGGGCCTGGAGGGATGGTCCTGAGGACCGGTAGCCGCCGCACCCCCCCACCCTGCGCCCCGGGCCCAGCTCCCCCTCCGCCTCAGCCAGACAATGGGCCTCCGGAAGGCGGTGACAAGGAAAAGCGTCATGGCGCTGGCCTGGCACACAGGAGGTCTGACACTAGGCACCAAAGCTGGGTGGCTGGGCCAGCAGGGGCATGGGCGCTGCAGTTAGAGGGGGCTCTCTGCAGGAGTCTGGGGGCGAGCGGGAGCTCTTCCGGGTCCCGGACGCAGGCTCTGGGGACCGCAGGGGCCGGCTCCCGGGGAGCGGGGGGAAGGAGCGCGCGCAGCAGCCGGGAGGCCGAGCGGCCGAGCGGCGCGCGCTCCAGGGCCCGCGCGGTTGGTGCACGGGGCTGCCGGCGCCTCGCTCGCCCCGCCTGTGCAATGGGCGCGGGGACGCCGGGCCGCCGCGCCGGGGAAGGGTTTGCAAACCGGGAAGGGCGGGCGTCGGCGGCCCGGCCGAGGCGGGGCGGGGCCGGGAGGCGGAGCTCGGCCTGCGGCCCCTCGGAGCCCCGACTCGCAGTGGCCGCGGCGGCCGGGGAGGCAGCGGCGGCGGTGGCGGCGGCGCGGCGGCGCGGCGGCGACAGTAAGTGCGGGCCGGAGGTCGGGCGTGGACCTGACCCCCGGCCGGCTCTTCAGGCTCCCGGCCGCCCCCTGGGCTCGCGCTTCGGCGGCCTCCCCCGAGGAGCCCTCCTGGGGGCTGCTCCGCGGGAACCTCGGGAGGGGGGCCTACCAGCCCCAGCCACCCCGCTGCGGCGCCCCTCACCTCTCGCTGTATCCCTCCCCGTCGTGCCCCCTCTGACTCCTGCCCCCTCCCCCCACGCCCTGCTAATTTTCCCCTTTCTGGGTCGCTATGCTCTTTCTCCCCTGGATTCTCTCCCCTCCTCTTCCTCCTCCTCATGGATTTCCTGACACGGGACCTCACCGCCTGGTTGTGGGGGGCCTGGGTATGGACGAGTCAGCCCAAAGTATCCAGAAGGTGGCTGACTCTTAGTTCAAACTGGGGGAGTCTGAGGCTGGGGGTGCCTCCAACCCCAAAGCCGATTCTGCCATGGTGTCTGGGTGGCACCCTGTGTTCCCCAGAAGTGCTTTCCCATGGGTTAGCATCACCAGCTCCCCTACCCTCATTTCACAGATGAGGAAATCGAGGCACAGTGGGGAGATTGACTGAGCCAGAGTCAGAAACCTCCTGGGAACCAGGCCCCCAGTTCCATTTCACAGATGAGGAAATCGAGGCACAGTGGGGAGATTGACTGAGCCAGAGTCAGAAACCTCCTGGGAACCAGGCCCCCAGTTCCAGATGGTGGTCTGCAGCAGCCTGGGCACCACACACTTCTGCCTCTTTGTGGGGGTGCTGCCCCATCCCCCAAGTCACCCAGGAAAGGAGCCCCGCCAAGCCTGGCCAACTCCTGCAGGTGACTTGAGTACAGGGCAGGCCACAGCCAGCCCACGCTGGGGACACCAGGGCTCTTTCTTGGCTTTCTTTTTCCTTTCTTTCTTTTTAATCCAAAAGCCAGCAGCTAGCTTTTATAAAGAGTAATAAGACTTTGCTCACTTCAGTGCCCTGGCCTGTGACCCAGGTTAGAGAAAATTTCTGGTTCCTTCTTCAGGAGCTCAGTCAAGGCTGAATGGCCCTGGACAAATAGATGGGTGGAGATGAGAGTGGGCCGGAGTAAGCCGGCCGCGGGCCCCTGCCCCCACCCCTGTAGCTGGAGCATCTGGAAAGAACCACTTGTCCTTTGTCTGTTGTCCTACATGGGTCATAGTTTTTACATTTCTAAACACTAATTGAGAAATGCGTGTGTGTCTGCACCTGGGCACGCACACTGCATGTGTGCTCACACTGGTTAGTTTGTCAGAGCTGGGCTTCCTGTGGAACAAGGCTAGGGAAGGGCGCTGCTCAGCCAGGGGAGTGGAAAATAGACTTGCTGGCTTGCACGCTCGGGCATCTGGCAGCCTCTTGCCTGCCCGCTCCAGGGTACATGCTGCCCCCGTAGGAGGGAATATCCTGACCACCCAGACAGAGTCCATTCATTCAGCAAACACTGGTGAGGGTGCCCTGCATCCTCTTCACCTCCGCTCACAGCTCACTGTCCGTGAGGCCTTCTAGAAGGAGGTCTGTGCTTGGAGCCAGCAGACATGGGTTCACATTGCCAGCCAGCCTCCTCTCCCGGGTGGGCCTCGGACTGCTTGGCTATGTAGCCTCGTCCTTGCCATTTGGCAGCTGTGTGACCGTGGCCAAATGACTGAACCTTCTGGAGCCTCACTCTGCATCTGTGAAATGAGCCTTAGAGTGGTACCTGTCATGTTGTGCTGTTGTCAGGCTCAAGTGCGAGGTGCAGACCTTGACATTGCATGAGCACCGGATTTCATTTTAGCTACTGGGAATTCTTACTATTTGAATGGGGGGCAAATCAACTGCCTTCAAGGCTTCATTCTTTGCCTCTGAAAAAAGGGAGGCACGAATTCCTGTCCTGCTTAATTCCGAGGAATGTTGTGAGGCTCTCCTGAGATACCAGAGAAGGCTGTGTGCCCATGTGACAGGGCAGTCCCGTCTCCCCAGGGCAGGAGGGCCCGGCTGGATGCTGTGAGTCTAAGGTTCAGCCTCCGAGGGGGCTGAGCTGAGTTCATTTCTTGATGTACTTGGGGGGGGGGGCCCTACTGCAGGAACTACTACAATGTCCCATCCTCAGCTCTGTGGAAGTACTGCCCATTTATCAAGCTGCCGCCATGTGCTAGGTGCTATATAGAGCATGGAAGCAGGCAGACTACTTTGCAGCCATTCAGCAGCCAGCCAGCCAGGGGACAAGCCCAGGATGGCGGGGAAGATGCTCACGTTCCTGCAGCAGCTGTTATCACGGGCCAGGCACTTGGCAGCCAGTTGCAGTTATATAAGCATAGTAAAAAAGGCCTCCCTCGGTTTACAGATAGGGAAATTGAGGCTCAGAAGCATGGTGACTTGCCCAAGGTCATGTAGGCATCCCAGAATTTCAGTTAAGTTTTAGGTGCTGTCACAGATTGGGAGTGGCTGTCTCCTGATGGGATGCGAGGGATAGAGGTGGGGACCCGGGCAGGAGCTACAAATCCAGGCTTGGCCATGGACCTGGTCTGTGACCTTCTGCTCTTCAGACCTTGGTTTCCCAAAAATTAAATGAGGGAGTGGACTATTAGATCTCTCAAACTGGCTTCTCCAGGCAGCTCTAGACACCATGGTTTTAGTTTTTTGTTTTAAATGTTATCTTATTTGAATGCCTTTATTTTTATTTATAATTTTATTTCTGAATACATAATCCCTTCACATAGTTCAGAATTCCAAAGGCACAAAAGAGGAGGCAGTGAAGACCCCTCCCTCCCCAGGGGCAACCACTCTGAAATTTCCCGTGGGTCCTTCCACAGGATATTCTCCTCCCCACCCAGCCCAGCCCTGTCTGCTTTTTTGCACAAATAATAACATATTCTATGCACTTTCCTGCTCCTTACTTTTCTCACATAAAGTTGAAAAGAGTTTGGAGAACATGCTTTGCCTATCAAGGGTCCTAATCCCTTTTTTTAAATGGCTGCAAAGACAGTTGAAGGCCTTGAGCTCAGGTTTGCCCTTCTGGATCGATTGCCGTAGGCCCCACTGCATCACATGGCCTTACTCCCGGCCAGCCCACAGCTTGTTGGCTACCTATGTTGTCCTGCACGGGGATGGGGGTGATGCTTTGGTCACTTATAGTTCTGGCATCTTGTCGTTCTCCCCGATCCTTAAACCTGAAGCTCTCGAACCATGCTGCGGTGACCCAGGGTCCGGGCAGAGTCAGCTTTGCGGGACGGGTGAGTCCCTAGCCAGACCCAGCCTAAGCTTCTGATCTCCTGCCCTGTTTCTGTGTCTCTCTGCTCCAGCCGTGGCCATGGCCTCCGAGGATGACTTTCATCACAGTTCAAACTCCACCTACAGAACGGCAAGCAGCTCCCTCCGCACTGACCGGGAAACACTGCTTGAGAAGCTGCTCGACCACCCACCGCCTGGCCTGCAGAGGCCCGAGGACCGCTTCCATGGGACCTACATCATCTTCTTCAGCTTGGGCATTGGCGGCCTACTGCCATGGAACTTCTTTATCACTGCCAAGGAGTACTGGGTATTCAAACTCCGCAACTGCTCCAACCCAGCCTCGGGGGAGGAACCCGTGGGTTCGGACATCCTGGTAAGGGAGCGTTCGTCCTGGGAGCCGGGGAGCGGGTGGGGGCCGTGGGAGCAAGCAGCCTGGATGGGGCGAGTATACTTGGGTGTACCGTTCCAGGAAGGTTTGCAGCCTGCTGAGAATATGGATGCAAACCAGTGTGTTGTGTGGAGTACGGTAGAAAGACCTCAGTCCTGAGACATGCTTTGTGTGGTGGGTGAAGCCTCATGCTTCATGTGGTGGGGAAGACACGATTGCAGCCTCCAGCCTGCTTACTATCTAACTTGGGCAGAAGATGCAAGTGGTGATTCTCTGCACTGTCCTGTGGTGAGCCCAAGAACCCAGAGGTCATGACTCCAGGGATTTGAAAAGGCGGCTCTGATAGCAGGAAGTTCAGCTATTACAGAAAATTCCAAAAAAAAGCAGTGGTAAAACGAGATGGAAACGAATTTTTCTCTCCTGTTCAAGTCTGGAGGGGCCAGCCCAACGCTGGTACGATGTCCCATGTGGTCAGGAACCTCGTTGCTCCACCATGTAGAGCTTCCATGGTCAAGGTCATTTTGCAGTCCAAGATGGCTGTTGGAGCTCCAGCGATCACGGCAAGAGGAGAAGGAGAGGCATAAGAACATTCCTGGAAGTAACACACATTGCTTCTGCTTCCATGCCACTGGGCAGAACTCAGTCACATGACCACATGAGCTGCAAAGGAGGCTGCAAAATGTAGCCTTTATTTATTTATTTTTTTTAAAGATTTTATTTATTTATTTGAGAGAGAGAGAAGGAGAGACAGAGAGCACGAGAGGGAAGAGGATCAGAGGGAGAGGCAGACCCCCCACTGAGCAGGGAGCCCGATGTGGGACTCGATCCCGGGACTCCAGGATCATGACCTGAGCCGAAGGCAGTCGCTCAACCAACTGAGCCACCCAGGCGCCCAAAATGTAGCCTTTAGATGTAGTTGTTATCCCAGAGAACTGTGTGCCCAGCTAAAATGGGAGGTTGTACAGCTGTGGGAGACGGGAAATGAAGACTGGGGGATCAGTAGTCTTGTCACCAGGGGAGGGATCACTGTGACTCAGAGCATGTGGACTAGAAGGGAGGGGATCTTCCAGGTGGGAGGGAAAGCCTGAGCAGAGGCAGGATGGGGGGGACGCTCAGGTGTGTGAGGGGCAGTAAGGCACTGAGTTTTCCTGTATGGGGGGTACACGTAAGGGGAAAATAAGGCTTGAGATCATTGCCTCGGCCCTGAAGTCATTGCTTGGGCCTTGAATGCCAAGGTGAGGCGTGGACATTTTAGTGTTTAGTGACAACAAGCCCCCTCCCACCACCGGGGCTGCTCACTCTGTGGCGTGACTTTTCCCTTGGTCAGCGGCAGTGTTAAAGACGGGAATTACTCTGCCGCTTGTTAAAACGTAAGGAAGGCTTAACTCAAGATTGTTGCAATAAGAAAGAGAGATCGGGCTCAACTCCAGATACCACAAGACATGTGGGAATTTATAGCCAAGGAGCAGGGTGAGAGCTCAGTGGATGGAAAATTAGAGGAATTAGTGGATGGAAAAAAGAGGAGCCATCAAGGGCAGGGGGATTCTTGCTAAAGGCAGGCCAAGGGCATTGCACACCAGGGGTGGGGGATGAGGAGCTTGCTCAGATATCGAGGATGGTTGCATATCAAGGGTGGGGGGCTTCTCCATAAATGGACTTAGCAGGATTCTTGCTAGGACTGGGCTGGGCAGGTAGAAGACAGGATGGAGGCCAAGGGCAAGGCCGAGTGGAGAAGAGAGCTCAGAGGTTTGGGTAATCTCTATCAGGAGCCTCAGAGTCCACAGCTGATCTAGGCTGGTGTCTGCTCTCTCTTGGAAGCTCATGGGTGGGGATAGTGTGCGCATCTCTGAAAGCATGCCAGGCTGGAGGGTTGCCAGCTGCCCCCTCCTCTAGGGGACAAGAAGAGGGAACCCTAGCAGACCCTAGCCATAGCCAGGCGTGTGGCTCATCACCCCTTGAAATCCCTGACCTAACCCCAAAGAACTTTCCCCAGTTCTGTAGGGATAAATCTAACACAATGACTGGAGCATCCCTGTTGTCTGTCTCTGAGACTGCATATGGCCACACATTGAAATCACACAGGGAGTTTAAAAAAATCCCAGTCTGAGCCCCACCGCAGTGCCTGGGATTAAATTAGCCTGAGGTGCGGAAGGGACAGAGGTATTCTAAGACTTCACACCCCCTCCCCTGGCCTCAGCCCCTTGGTTCTGACACCCTGCTAAGGCCTGTTTGTGTCAACTGAGGGACTCATAGACGCCCCCAGGGCTAGAGCAGCGCAGCGTAAACCCATTTCCACAGCTGAAGAGGTGTCCTGGGAAGGTGGTCCGGGACTTGAGAGCCTCCTACTCAAGGTGTGGTCCCTGGACCAGGCGTCACCTGGGAGCTTGTTAATGATGCAGGCCCCACCCCAGGCCAGCTGAGTCAGGAGCTGCAGGCTACCAAGCCCCCAAGGTGACTGACCGGCCCCTTCGAGTTTGAGAAACACTCCCTAGGGCATGGCTTCCGGAAGCCTACCGCTCGGGCTCAAACCCTGCCTTTACTCTGGTGCCTGGGTCTCTGGCCTCAGGGCTGCGTCGGCTTCCTGGCCCAGAGCAGGAAGATGCTACTAACCACCGGCTCAGCTCCGTAAGGTTGTGAGGGTTTGGTAAATTAATATGCACACAAAGCACTGAGCACTGGCTCTGGCGCCCCCACTCCTAAGTGCTGTGCGAACATTATTATCATTATCATCGCTTGGGGGGATGGGGCACCCAGTGCCGAGCTGCATATGGCCCTGCTGTATTTCCAGACGTCTGGCTTAGCTGGGGTGCTTCATGATCCACTTTATATACCCGTGACTCAAGCATCCCAGTTCCTGCCAGCCTCGGTAAATTACCCAGCCCACTTGGGCTTCTTCCAGAAGATCTCTGTCTGTCTCGGCCAGCACCCGGCCATGGCGGCCCCCAGGGCTAGACTGAGTGTGCACCTGTCCTGTCCCCTCCTCCATCCATTTCCTCGGCCCCCGGGGCCGGAGAGGACTGAGTGTGCACCTGTCCTGTCCCCTCCTCCGTCCATTTCCTCGGCCCCCGGGGCCGGAGAGGAAGCCTCGGCTGGTGCCTGGGAGCGGGGCCTCGAGCAGTGGAGGTCTGCTGCAAGGCAGCCCCTTCCCAGCTGCAGGCACTTAGCATTCCAGGCCCTGCTAGGATGCTTTATTGCCTCTTTCCAAGTGCTGGCAGGTGCGGCTGCCCGGAGCTCCTGGCTCTTGGCATCAGAGATGAGAGACCTGTCACCCCTCAATTCATGGGCCGGGTCTGGGAAGCAAGCATGCTGGGGCATCTCTGCATTTTGCAGGCCATTTTTCTTTGCCTAATTCCTCATTCCTGCCACCCACCTCCCCAGTTCGTTCCCACTCTCTTCCTGATTTCCCTGCAAGAGGTGGCTGGTCTGCTCTGTCACCTGAGGGCCACTTTGGGGAAAGGAGGGGGAAGAGTCAAATGGGTCTGTCTCCAGCCACCACCTGCAGCTCAGTTAGCTCTGGATGTTGGGGTTTTTTTCTGTACTTGCCTTTTAATATTTCCCAGGGACAGATACCATTGACTGGGGAGTTTGGCTGTGTAGGAGTGTTGGTACAGTCCCCCTTCCCTCCAATTTAGGTGACTTTCAAGGTCACCTCCCTTCCCAGGCTCATTCCCTTCTGCCTAGGACAGTTTGGGGGATGGTTTAGAAAGCATCCTGCTCACCTGCCCCCTCGTCTCTAGTCCCTGGAATCAAAACTTTGAATAACTCCCCCACAGGCCTTTGGGCCCAGAGTCCAGAAAATTCGAGGATAAACAAGGAAGAATTTCTTTGAAGAGGTGGTGCCGTGGGGCGTCATGGTGGCCACCATCTTCTGAGCCTGACTCTGGGCCCACCATGCTGGCAGGGATGTTAAACTCGCCTCTCATTATCTGTTCAGTCAAAAAGCCACGCTCAGAGATTTTCAGTAACCTGCCTCCAGTCACATAGTGAGCAAGGGTGGTAGAGAATGTCACAGAGAATTCAGATGGACAGATGATTGCAAAATTGGTCAAGCTCAGAGAGTGGCATAGAGGGGGCTGCCCTGGAGACGGGACGGCCCCACGCCCTGTCTCCGCCAAATGGAGAGCCTGCCCTTGGTCTGGCCTCCTTTTCCACCCTGGGAGAACAGGTGCCTCCGCTCTACCCCTGGATTCTGGACCCAACTTCCAAGCTGTCAGTGTCCCTGATCCCTTCCCTACCCCTGCCCCCAGGTCCTCCTTTGGCTCTGGGCTCTGTAAGCCGTCCCTGATCCTATGGGGCACTTCTTGCCCTCCACTTGGCCTCTCCTGCAAGCCGGTCTGGGCTGCCCCTGGGCCAGGGAGTATAAGCCAGACCCGCCCCTCTTTCTACCTCTGAGAGGAGAGGGAGCACGCCTTCTCTTAGTCATTCCCTGCCACGAGCCCTCCGTGGCCCCCTCCTTACACATTCTTCTGATGCACCTTGGCCTGTCCAGGGCTCCTCTCTGAGGGGACTGCAGGACATGACCAGGTCATGGGTGGGACCTACAGTCTGACTCGGTATCAACAGGGCCAGGGCCCAGGCCTGGACATCTGCTGCTGCCCCATCCATCCGCCAACCGGAGGGAGCCCCACTAGCCCAGTCTGAGGGAGTGGAATCTCTCCTGCTGCCACCCTTCTGAGTTAGGGGGATCCTCGTCTGGGTCCCCAGAGCCCACTTCCCCCTCTGGCACTTGCCACACAATTCATGGTATTGAGTGTCTGTCGTGAGGGGGCCACTGCTCAGGATTCTGCCGGCCTTAGCTCATTTAACCGCACGGCACCTGTGTGAGGCAGGGGTATTAATATCTGTGATGAGAGTACCCAGTTCCCAGATGGGCCTGCCTCCCCCGCTAAACTGTGACCTCTTTGCAGTAGAGAATGCAGCTCTCCTGCTGTACATCCCTGTGCCCTGGGTACAGCTGACACAGTGCCCAGCACATAATAGCAACA